ACAAACTTAACTTCAGGATTATACTTTGCATATTCTATAATCCTCTTTGACATGGTATTTATGTTTATATCTTGTTCTCTATTGTCTGTTTTATTTTGTGTATGTTTGTTTAAGAAATCAAAAGAACATGAGGAGAAAAAACAGAACTGCTGCATAATCTGTGTTCAAAGATTTCAAAATAAAAAAATAAATATTGACTACTTGTAAACTTCTTAATAGTTTCTAACCAAAATTTCAACACAGATGTTGAACATTATTCAACTGAAAGTTTACAAAAGAGGCAAGTAAATTAGAGCAGAAAGAGAGTTTTGCCCACTACTTCCTTTGGACTAGGAAGATGGAGTATGACATATAACCAATGTGTGAGATCAGATCATGCAGATTCCATAAATCTAGGATCTTCTTGCTGCAAGGCAAACACATTGCCAACTACAGCAGTATGCAGTTCACTCTATTAAATCTGTTTCTCCATTATTTTTGCTGCCTACTGTCTCACATGTTGACATAGCAGCTAACACAATCCTAGCATGGTTGCCGGTGTGTGTTCGTAACCCAGGAGTAAGAGTCACAGTTGTTCTTGCACAACATTAGTGTTCAAACAGCTGAGGTCAAACCCCAAATCCTCCCTGACGTTAAACACCTCAGCTCTAACTGGAATCCACCAGAGCTGATCCTTTTTTACTCATTTCAAACACAAACATGTGTTTCAGGCCTCCACACCCGCTAGTCGCTTTGTTTTTATTACTAACACATGTGGAGTGTCGAGAGATTTCCATATATTTCCACTTCTGGTAAAAATAGCATCACAACAGCAACACAGGCCTAGGAAATGGTTTCAGATGTGCAATATTGTGAAAAGCTAAAAAAAAACTGAAAAGAGAAAAAATGAAGTCCGGATTGACAACAAGTCCCCGTTTCTGTTGCTCAAGAAACCACTAAGAGGTGTGGCTGCTTCACTGCAACAAGTTTCTTTAAATTTTGTCACCACCCAAAACATTTTCCTATAACCAGGTTGACAGAATCTAGAGGACAAGTGCCTGAGGCCAGACAGCCAAAATCATTTTCTGAAGTACTAATTAACAAGGAAGAAGGTAAGATGAAACCAAAAACCGTTGGAGAAACTGGAGATGATTAAAGGGATTGAATCATTGAGTTCAATTACAGGGCAAGAGTTTTACTGACCAAATTAGGGCCTAGTCCTCTATTCAGAAGCACAGCAGGGTTTCAGGCAACATACCTTTGTGAGTCGTCAGTCAACTGTGTATAAAAACTCAATTAGGGGTAGCTGTTAGAGATTTTTCATTTACTAAAATAAAGCTAAAATATTGTAATACCCTGGAAACTGGAGATTTCCAGACATCACAAGCTGACATTGTTGCCGTGTCCTTCATGGAGATAATATGCTAAATGCAGGCCAACTACCGGGCCAGGTGACTTATGTAGAAATATATGAACATTACACATCTAACAGTGCAGGACAAATATTAATATGGTAGCTCCAAAGTCTTTATGAACAAATCAAACAAGTACTGTCTTTTAGATTGGGCTAATCTAGATTTTGCTTTCGTTGCCAACAATAAATACATAGCTACACCAAGAAAAATAAGATAATCAAATCTAAAAAAAATATATGGCTAACATGCAAAGCCATTTTTGTTTTATATCCATTTGGTGTTTTATTATAACTTCGTAAATTTTTTTGTTTTTATTATGTAAAGCATTTCAAACTGCCTTGCTGCTGAAATGAGCTATGCAAATAAACTTGACTGATTGATATCTACAAAGATTCACATATCCATTTCCCACAAATTAATACATCTTTGTTCTTTTTATTAAAATATTGTGTTTGATTTGGTGTTAGGCAAGTTAAATGATTATTTTCTTTGGTAAGTAATTCTTTTTTTAGCCTCCGTTTCTGAATTTCCAGTCAAAATGCTGCTCTAGTAGGTGGCAGAAACTCTCACATTATTGACATCAGCAGTCTAAAGAAATGTATCATGAGCATGGCTGAAGATGTATCAGGCCATCAGTCAGTAACTTCTGCTGAGGTTTACTGAAAACATTCAGGTCAGACTCAAAGGTGAAAAACAAAATATGAAAAGGACTCCACTGTTATTGCAGCATAGAAAGCCATTTCAAGCATATAGGAAGTAATCTGGTGCATCACTGTTTCTAAAAATCTGCTGATTGTATGCAAATAAGATAAGCAAAGATTTTAAAAATGTCCTTTTATGTCCATCATAAAATTATAGACGAGAAGCACAAATACAGTGGAAAATATCTCTTAATGCAGAGAAACTTAGTCTTTATGGGCATATTATCATAAATTTTACTGAAAGGTATATTTAAATAGTGATTCACCAATCAGGCAGCCAGTTATCAAAATGTTTAATTTTTTTCCCCTCAGGCATCTCAAACTTGTAACAGGAAGTTCAAGCAGTGCAGGACTTGTTTTTTGTTTTTTCCTGGGTAATACATCAAAACTAAAAATTCCCACCTTTTTTTGTCTATAAACGCACCAAAACAGACATGGCCTTTTATGCATTTTTGTTTTGAGTTCAGTAAAAGAAAGTCAAACAAATGTTACAGATATATGTTCAAAAGCATAAATGGTTATATACATTTACTTCAAAAATGGGTATTAACATTTAAATATTGCCAAAAAAGCTTTCTGTAGAATGTAGTAAATGGACAGCCAACTTCTAGGTATAGTTCAGCAAGATTTTTTGTTTTGGGGGGAGGGGGGGTTTACTGGTTTTTGAGCAAACTTTAGGATTTCCAGAAAGCTCTCAACAGCAGCCCAGTTTGGTGGTGGATGTGCTTCTGGCCAAGCATTCCCTCCTTCTCAGCTAGACAGCAGGTTAGAGGTCCAAAGTGACACAGCAGTGGTAATTACTCCTTCTCTGTTCATGTGAACGCAGCTTAGACTTTTGTCAGGCTGTGCCAAGTCAAATGGGACAGACACGCCATAAATCAAAGAGCCTCCCTGCTAAATACACGACGCTGCAGGTTCACATCAAAGGAATGTTCCCCACCTATTGCAAAGGCTTCTGGGACGTAGCCAGACACGCCCCAGTTCTATCACCCGTCCTTGCAACAGTAGGAGTTCCTGTGATTGTGAGCAACGTGGGGCTAAGTGTGTGAATGTGGAGTAAGGAGGGCGAGGCTGCACACTCAGCTCTGAAGTCTCAAACAAAGAATACGCACGACTCTCCCACCTCAGAGTCATGTTCTGTATCTGCCAAATGCTTTCTTTGCAATTTTATGTCATGCAAAAGTTCACTTATGTTCCTTCAGACCCAGACGTCTGGCTCATAATCAATTCCAGTCTAATTCCTTAACAATTTATTTAACTATTATGTAGAACAGATTTGTTGTAGGGTGATTTCCTTTTCAAATAACCTTTTACAATTTAGAGGTTGGGCAGTGTTTTAATATCAGACTGGATTAGCTCTCCACCCCCTGAGATCATGTTGACTGATACAGTCACTGAGTAATTCCTGGGTAAATTTCAACCGTTAGCTGTTTGGTTTCATGGGAGTGGCAAGTAAATGTTTGTGTAATAATCTCTTCCCAACTTCATTAGAAACTTAATTTGTTTCTCATTATCACAGTTATATTTCTTCTCTGAGCTGCAGCGGTTCAGACACATACTGTAGTAGAAAAGGAGACTCTTTCAGTTTCTGTTTTCAATGACCCGATTGATTTTTATTTAAAAAGAAGCTACATTCTACTTGTTGCAACAAGCTGCTGGCTCGTTTATCTGCAGAAGTGCAGAACGCTCACCTGAGCTCTTTAACATGAAGCGTCTGTTGGTGCAGTTTCAACTCGTAGGAGAGCTGATGCTGGTGTAAGACTCTTCTCCGAGTTTAAATCAAGTGTGTGTTGAAATGATTGTCCAAATGTTTAGCATTTCTAACCAGGTTTTATGAAAACAGTGAAGAAAAAAAAAACTGCAATTTAAAGTTGGGATTAAAATTCAAAAGGCTTCTTGTTGACAGGAGCATCTGAATAAACTGGAAAACCTTTGAAAAATGTATTTATTTCAGTAACATAACATTGTAGTCATTTATTTCTATTTAGTCTTAATGATTCATAATAGTCGTAATAAGGAATTTAATCAATCTCATGACAAATTGAAATAAGCTCTAATAATTTCCATTCTGGCGATTAATATTTTTTAAACTGCAATTTAACCCATTGTATTTATTGACTCACTTGTGTGTAGTTTTTAATGTCCTTTTTATATGCTATGTTTGGTTGTTGTGTGTTATTTTGGATATTGAAGAAGACTTCCAGTTCCAATATAAAATGTTCTGTACAAAATTAAAGTTTATCTGTCTTTGAGGAATTGAACTGGCATTATTATGCCATTATCAATATATTAGTTTCAAGATAGTGTCAGAACAAAAACAACATCATTTATCGCAATAATTTCTGGAACAATTTATTGCCCAGCAAAATTTGCTATTGTGACAGGCTTAGTCCAATCCTATTTCTCCCTAGCCCAGATAGGACTTCTGACACCTCTAGTTCTGTAGTGGATTAACACAAAGGATGGGACAGTTAGGGCTCAATATACATTTGTGAAAAGTGCTGCTTGTTGTGTTTTCCACACATTTTCCTTCCACTCAATTTTCCATCAACATGCTTGCATGATGGCCCAATGTTTTTAGCAATAATGTTTTGTGGTGTACCTTCCTATGGAGAAATGTCAAAACTTTCCCATTGATTGTGTGCAATAGTAATAATTGTTATTGCACTTTTTTAATTTCTGTAAGCTGTAATTAACAACAAGAAGAAAATCAGGGCATACAGTCTGAAATTACAAACATGCAATGCTCCATGCTCCTATTTTCCAAACCAGTGTTCATCCAGACATGAAAAATAATTCAATTCCATGTTTTTCCTTGACTGTGTATTCCCTTTTCACCAATCAGACTTTGCAGTATGGTTCACGGTGCATTGCTATGTGTATGTGTATCTGTCAGGCCGCTCACCTCTTGCTCCACCTCCAGCAGGCTTGCCTCGCTCTTGTTGGGACTGGACGGCTGGCTGAACACTGAATGGCTGCTTTGAGCGTCAGTCTGAAACAAACAACCAGAAAAAGAAGACAGAAGAGAATCAGACTCTGTCTTTTTGGACATCAGACCCAGAAATTAAGACTTTACTGGTTTCTAATGTAAAAAAATAAATTAAAAAAATAAAAAAAAAATATCCAAAGGCATCACTAAGCAAAGCAGCTAGAAGATTTACTTGTGACTCACACAAGTAAACCTTAATTGTACTATGTAATTAATTTTATTACATAGTAAAATTAATGGGCTATGACAAGTAGAAGGTAATTTTATTGTAATTCCTTGAGGTAACGAAAGAAATGTGCAAACAGAAGAGGTCAATATTAACATAAGTATGATTTGAACCCGTCTGCTGATGAGATTAAACCTGCAGCTTTTAAAAATCTCCATAAAGAAATGAGATGCTTGCGAGAAAAAGATGTTCTACATTTTCTCATGACTTGAAAAGAAACATACATTGTAATAATGCACAGACTTTGGTGTTTACAGTCAGTGAAGCAGGTGTTGACGCCTGTACTTATACCCTGATGTCACTCTGAAGGTATGAGGAAAACAAAAAGCCAACTGTAAGCCAGAATTACCTCCTGATATGACAAGATATGATATACCATTCCTATAGCCTAAAGTCCTCCACTACAGTAGGGATGGACCGTAAGGCTAAAACACTTACCACCACATATGCGATTATATTAGTTGATATGAATAATTATTGATTATTTTTTTTGTTTTAAATATTGGAAATACTGCCAAACTGGTGGCATGACCTTTCCTGTTTTATCCAGTTTTCACTCCACGCCATTCCTTTTTATTTTTCAGTGATTATGAGGCCCTTTGGCCTTAAACTGCTGCTGCACAAAAAAGAGTGAGTGAGTTAGTTTATGCCGCCTTGCTAAAGCCTTTCCTCTGCCTATATCCCCCAGAATGCCATGTGGTTTTGGACCAAAGTGCAGTGAAATTATTGAATATTTTATAAGACACATATTGATATTGATCGCATGTCAATTGCAATATCTTGCAATTAATTTCTTGTCCAGCCATCACTGCTGGATTTTTTTATGTTTAGGTTAGCTCACTATAATCCTCATCTACAATGACAGTGCTCTACAAATTATTCTATTCTAAATAATTATGTTATTATGTATGTTATAAATATTTTATATTATGTATGTATTTAGCTTGACTCATTAAAAAGGGGAAATATAAACCAATTCTATTCTTTTTTTTACACTGGAAATATGATGCCAGATTTGATTCTGATGCTGTGCGTGTCCTTAAAAACTAAATTCAGACAGAACATTATGTAATATGTTTAAAAATCCACATGTCAAAGAGAAAGGCGCTGAACACACAGGAAGCAGAGTTAATCTATGTGTTACAAATCTAAGCTGCAGCAGAGTCACAGAGGGTGTGGCACATATTACTCATTATTTAAAAAAAAAAAGCACCTCAAATACCTTGATAATAGTCTAGTGCGCTGAAAACCAAACATAAGCAAATCAGTAACTAAGGAAGTGTATAGAAGGCCAAATTATGCATAAAGGCAAAAGAGGAAGACATGGAGAAGCTGATATGTTTTACCGCCTGCAGCAGGAGAATCTGTAAACCTCTATAAAATCACGAGCAGACCAAGAACAAGTTAACCGGCAAGAACTTGGATTCAGGACCAGACTGATGCCATTAACAAGAAAACAAACAGAAACTCTCAGACAATTGGCAGAACCATCAATGAGAGTTTATATTAATAAATTAACATTGTACTGTAGGGAGGGACCGACTGTTAATCAAAAGGTATTTCAGAACTCTGTTTCTGCTTCAGCAGTGTTCACCTTGCAAAAGGAGGGAATAGTTTCCATCGGGATAATTAAAAGGAAGGCAATCTCCTGGTTGTTTCTCAATGGAGGTGTCCTAACAAAAGTATTTTATATGACAAACCACCAGAAAGAAGCATATGATTGCAAACCAGAAGGAGGCTGGTGAATGTTTGATTGTTTACAAATAAAAATGTGAAAATTAAGGTGTACAAATATATTCAACCCGCTTAAACTCCTAAACATAATCTTGCGCAACCAATGCACTAAGAAGTCACCTAATTAGTAAATAGAGTCCACCTGGGTGTAATTTAATCTTTGTTTAAACCCAGCTGTTCTATGAAGGACTTAGTGTTTTTTTAGAAATCATTAGTTAACAAACAGCATTATGAAGATCAATAAACACATCAGATGGGTCAAGGAGAGAATTTTCAAGTCTATCCGTTAAAGGTTATCTGGGCTATCCCTAACCCTAGTGCGCCATTCATAAACATTAGTTGCTACACCAAGAAAATACTTAGCAAAAGCTTATGCTAATGCATTAAATTCAACCATGTTGATGTACACAATGTGTCAATAACAAAACGTGGGACAGCACATCTCCCTTAACAGGATCAAATTTGTTATTTCACGCCTACCTGATATACTGAATTAACGGTCTTCCCCTACTTCAAAATAAGAGCATGAATATAAAAATCTTAACTACTTAAAGAATTCATATCAGTTCGTAACCAAAACTTCAAAACATGTCTAACATTATTTAACTGAAAGTTTACGAAATAGCCAATTACCAATTCCAAAGTTAGCAAAAAGGTTAAAGTGCTAAACAAAAAATGAGCACCTTATTAACGCAGTTGCAAAAGTTTACATACCGCTGCTACTGATTATTTGAAAAATGGAAAGAGCAAGAAAGGAAATGCAAGGCACGCAGATTAATTAAAGCAGACAAGAGGTTCATGCTAACACTGGAGGTGCTGCAGAGATGATTAGATCAAGCTGAAGAATCTGTTGGCAGGACAACTGTTAGCTGGAAACTCCAAAAATCTGACCTTCATGGAAAAGTGGCAAGCAAAAACCTGTTCAAGGTTTGCTTAAAGCCATGTAGGGGGAACAGAAAACGTGGACAAATGTGTGCTGGTGAAATGTTGAATACTACAGAACCATTACGGGACATTCCTTGGGGAAAAACTTGAGACTTGGGTGGAAGTTCAACTTCCAGCAAGATACGCCCCTAAACATCCAACCAAAACTACAATGGAACGGCTTAAATTCAAACAAAGTCATGTCATGTTTTTAAATCTTAAAGAGGTGTAGTATGTCTTTTAACAATCCTTCATTTATGAGTTACAAAACCCGGAAGTTCAAACCTGGAAGGTTCACACTCTGCGGGAGTTTGTTTTATATGCAAATTAGCAAAAGATCTGCAGGTATGCGGACCTTTACGTCATCTGCTTTCTGTTCATCATATTCCTGACAGATACTCTAGGCTGTGAAAATTCAGAGCCCGGTGTGAGATTTGAGAACCTGGTGCCACATAGCACACATCCCCACAGCGCCACAGCCTGTCTGAGGCCTCAGCCCTGCACCGCATTTCTGTCTTCCTCTGACATCTGTGATGGATCATGACTGGCAAACTAATAAACAGAGATGTCTGACAGCTCAGTGTGAGCCCAAACTGATTTATGAAAACAAAACAAGGTCAAGTTGGAGTTAGGTCTGACTTAAAGTTTCTGCAGCAGAACCAGCTCTTAATACGAGCCGTTTGCCAGTTATTTACCTGGTTGAGATAAACAGAAAAAACCAGTCCACCAGGAAGCCTTGCATGCTTTTGTCTCAATAACTAGGTCATAATGATTTACAAGTACAGTTTTGACTTGTTAAAATCTGAACAAAATACAGCAGAAAAGTGAACACAGTGAAGAATGACACATAATCACCTTAAACATCCAGGATCATAAGTCAAGAGTCAAACATTTTCTAGCTGCCAAAAATGACATTTTAAACAGTTTAACAAGAAGCCATTTGCTATTAGGAGTCTGAGAGTCAACTGAAATAATAGGAGAATCAAACATAAGGGTTTAGTTCATTATGCTGCTTTTGGTTTTCTTCAGAAATACAAACACTGCATCATAACATACCTTGAATATTGGGTCGAGAGTCAAGAAGCCATTAGATTTGACTGAACATGTTAGCAAAATCAACCAAACAACAACGAATCTCTCTGAATTTCACACCTACAAACTCTGAAGTAACATGATCACTATTAGGTATACTTCAGAACTGTGGGTGCCACTGATTTAATGAGATACAAACAACTAGATGTGTAAACAAAGAGTATTTCTTGAGCTGTAACACATTTCATGATCTGCACCAATAGAGGCTTTTAAGGTTAGCTTTTCAGAGAAACCCTCGACTTATGGGAGGGTTTCTGTTGATCTGTCTAACTTGGAATTTGAAGACAAAAGGAATTCATTACTATTCATACAAAGATTAAATAATAATTGGTTTTAGTGTTGAAACACCTTTCTGTTTACTTTGAGTCTGGAATGGTTGCTGACATATGCCAGATTAGATTGGGTGTTGGTTATTTTATTCCCTTCATTTTTTTGCACTTTCCTTGTTTTGTTCTACACTCAACTACCTTACTGTAAGTCACGGCTTCCTGGACATTAGTATCCATTTTTCAAATGTATGGTTTGTAATGTGGACCCTCCCATATTTCTGGATACATATTAGCAGACAGAGCTCGAGTGTATGGATTGGCCAGAGCCTCTGCGTCTCAATGACTTTTAGAATTGTTATTTTTGTTTATCAATTTGTCTTTTCTCCAATTCACAAACCCATTTTATACCCAGGATTTTGTCCCTTACTACCATATCATTGCCATGTTAACCACTTAGCCATTTATTTCTAGTTATTTAGGAATTTTTATAATTAAAGACACTTAACAGCATCTTTTCTGTAGATTTTACAACTCATTTACATTGCTCGTGATTCCAATCTCTGGTTTGGTCACTCTTTTCAAACATGGTCATGACTCTTGATCAAACTAAATCAAATCTGAGAAACCTCATATTTATTCGTTTTACTTTTTGAAGTTGAATAAGCACATTTCTTTGCAGAACAGTTCGATTTGCTATTATGTCAACTATTACTCAAACCATCAGTTGTCAAAGTGGATACAAAACTGTCTATGCAAGTTTGGTTACAGACGGCAAAAACCTACAAATGTATGAAACAACAACACTGACATTATTCATCTGCTTCAGTTAAACACCTCACAATCCTACAGGCATTACTATCACATGACCAAACAAATACCAACCATGTCCCTCCCCCTTTACAAAACACACAAACACAGGAGATAAAGATGGTAATAAACATTGGTTATGATTTTAAAAAGTAAAATGTATCAACAGGAAGATGCTCAAAGGTCAAAGTTGTCCGTATTTAGAAAGATCGACGAAAACAGAGATTGGAACCTCATCCAAGGGAAATATGTTGGAAAATGTTCAGAAAATAGTGTATATTAATGCTGTATTTGAGACTTTGGTATGTTTATGACATCTGTTATTAGTATATGTTTACTTATAGGGCCAATATCACATGTTTTAAAATGACCTACAGCAGCCGATACTGACGTTAATGCCGATATTTTTGTGCATCCCTAGCAGCAAACACGAGCAAGAGTTTTGATTTCCCACTTCTAAATTACAGTGAAGGCAGCATGATTTGAGGTTGCATGTGACGTAAATGTGCTCCACCTTTCTTAGTCAGTTCATCGAAATAAGTCAAAGTCCAAAGCAGTAAAATTTTGTTAAAGTTGCAATACATTTAAGTTTCTGAGCTCAAATATGTACCTTAAATCATAAACAAAAACTCCAAGTTTTAGTATGTTCCCTTAAAATTTTGCTCGCAGGCCAAATGTTTTAAAGTTTTAAGAGCAACATTTTATTTTCTAGTGATTCTCTCTTTGGAGGTAGAGAGATGAAAGCACTCACCTCAGTAATAAAATTCTGTTGCTGTTGTTGCTGTTGCTGGTAGATAATTTCAGTCCCATGGCTGCTGCTGTTGTTCACACGGGGCAGAGTCTGCAGGTACATCGGCTGCACCATCGGCTGCACCATCGGCTGCATCATGGGCTGCACCACGGCCTGCTGCATCATGGGCTGCTGCATGAACATGTAGTTCTGCTGGGGCATGGCCTGCTGCACCGGAACCAGGTACCTCATTGTCCCGTAGGAGCCGTTCATCGCGGTCACCGGCAGCGTAGTCACATTAGAGACCGAAGACAACTGTATCGGTGAAACCGGAGACACCGGGGAGACCTGTGGGAGCGGAGACGCCGGTGAAACCGACCTGGTCGAGAACACCTGCGTGGTCACCGGCTCAGATGTCATCGTTTTGTACGTTTGAATCTTCTGCGTCTTGTGGACAACCGGCTCGGAAGTCAGCGTTTTGTAAGTGTGAAACTTCTGGGTCGACTGGACAACCGGCTCGGATGTCATCGTTTTGTACGTTTGAAACTTCTGGGTCGACTGGTGAGACATGTTGACTCAAAACGTTGGAGCAGGGCAGCTCAGACGGACAGGAAAACAACCGAAGCTGCAGCAAAAAAAAAAAAAAAAAAAAAAAAAAAAAAAAAAAAAAAAATTGGGGGAAGACAAAAGGTTAAGAAAAAAAAAAAAAACAAAGATATATA